ATCCATTTATATTGACATTCTTTGACTTTTTTACGTTTCTTATAAAACTAAGTATATTTAAAATAATTGAAAAACATTTTTGTAAAATCATTTTACACAAGAAGCGAGCTTAAATAGAAGTATACAGTCATAAGGTATTCAGAATATATTATAGTCGGTGTCCTACACCCAATGACTCATACCCTACAATTGGAGATTAGTGATGGGGTGAGAGTATGGTTTCTGTTATCCTAGACAATTATTCCTATAATGAATAGTTTGTCTAGATCAACGATATAATAAGTATTTTCGCTTATAAAAACGCTTCGTATTGTGAGTTGCTTTCTGTGTAAAAAAACCTAGAGACACTAATATTAACAATAATGGAAGCCATCATTACCGTAGGCAAGGAGTTGCTTTGTTTTTGTTTCCTGTTCTGTATGAAGAATGTTGCATTCAATTTTCATTAAACTTCAAAAACTCAGTTTAAAAATACAACTCAAAAGCTGATTCTTATTTTTTTCTAAGTTTATGGGGCTTGACGTCAAACCATGACTTCAAGGTTTTGCACGATAAATGAGCAGAGCGAGAGGAAAATATAGTTCCAACTTATAATCCGTCTTCTTTTTTGGTGCTATCTTAACCTGAGCTGAATTAAAGAATGTTAGTGCAAACTTCGCTTCGTTTAGATCGGCCAACTACTTTATTCGAAAATGCTCGCAAAACACCCGATCCGTTTTCTGGTCTTGAGCCTTCCTTCGCTTATAGTACGCATTAGTACTAGTATAGTAGCATTAGACAATTATCAAATCTTGAAAAGCACACTTTCGAAATTTCACTTAATGTCCACGTGGTTGCCCACAGTACAACTATAATCAGCTATCTGACAAATTTCTAATTATCATTTTTTCTTGTCGTTTCTGAGATAAAAAACAATTTCCCGTGTTCTTCTGTTCGCGGATGATTGAGCAGCTGTGTCGGCACGTGTGTAAATGAATACCTAAACAACCACCTTGTAAAAGAGATATAATGCACGAGTCGAAAGAAAAATTGCAAGTTGCAATAAATGTAAAAGATCAAGGTTTCCACGCGACTCGATCAACAACTTTATTTTGTAACGTTTTGTGCTGTTTTCTCGCCTTTATATTTTCGAACGAAAAGACGTTCGAAGCTAAACGACGCACGACAGCGGCATTTTCTGCTTGTTTTCGAGCAACAGGCGTGAAACGTGAGAAAGTTTTCAATTTTCACAATATGAATGGCCGATTTCCAGATCTTGGATAAAAGCCGTTTTCTAAAGGTTTTTCAAAAAAAGAAATTCTGGCTAGTTTTTATCGCATGTGATACATGAAAACGACTTTATCTTGGTCTTCAAAGACTTTCTAGAGTTTTTCAGAGGTTTTTGACGTTTTACAACAATGCGGTAGTTTTTTCGTTCCGTAATGTAGTATTTTATAGTTATACACTGCATCAAGAATATCTCAATTTTTGTCTCTCAGTGGCTTCTCTGCATAAGACACGCCATAAGATTGATCACAAAAGGTCAGAAAAATAAAACTGAACTATTTTAAAGAAGCAAGTATTTAATATGGACCGTTTTTATTTTCATCATCAATAAACAAAAACAGAAATGCAAGACGCAGAAGCTGTCAACATTATTTTAGAAACGAAGGTTGTTATTCTGTAAACAGGTGATAAAACACGTTTAAACGTAATTAGAATTAGTGATAACAGAACATTTGTCACAATCAATGCTATATCCAGCCTCAAATGACTTTAAATGGCGAATTAGGTAAAGAATTTTCTCTAGGCGTAATTCAATCGCAAAAGGTTTTGTTGTAGACGCTCCTAATCGATTATGTTTGAATTTAAGACGGAGGCTTGTTTTCGAGTGCTGTTGTGTCCGGCTGACAAAGATGATAAAATAAATATCAACTTCTGTCAACAAGTATCAATTATATTTCGACACTTTTAAATAAAACCTTTAATAATGAGCCACTCGATGATTTATCGGATAATTATATGCCATATAAAAATATACATTTTCAAATAAATACAAGGACAATGACTGCTTTTACACTTTTGTCAGTAAATCATAAACTTTATTCTCCTACAAACAAGATAACAGCAAAAAAAAGAATAACAATACACAACCAAAGTGATGAGCTAACAGTTATAAATGTGCAAACCAGCTATTTGACAAATGTCTAATTATCATTGTTCTGATTATTTCTGAAATAAAAAATAACGTTCGTGTTCTTCTGTTCGCGGATGATTCAGCAGCTGTTTCAGCATGTGCCTAAATGAATAAATAAACAAGCACGTTGTATCGCGTTGGAAAATAGTATAATACACGAATCCAAAGAAAAATTGCAAGATAGAGACAAGAATTAATTTTGTGTGTTTAAAGTTAGTTTAAGTTTTTGAATGATATAATGGAAATTTATTTTCTGGACGTCATTCTAGTTCAGAATTAAAGCTTAAATCTATAAGATCTCATAATGCTCTTCTTCAAACAGCTTTATTTTGTTCATTATTTGCCTATAGTGGATGACTTGATCTGGTATACTCTGCTGAGTGTTTATGGAAGTCCCGGAGTTAAATAAAGCTGAAACTCCATCAGAATTATGGTTTATCAGCGAAACTGACTGAAGTTATAATTTCGAAAATCCAGTAAGTGTATAGCGATAAGAGCTCGAATGAGTAATGGAAATAGAACCGGTTAGAGTCTAGGCCGAAGGAACAAATAAATTTAGAGATATATAGTCAAAGCAAGCAAAAGTTCACAACGCTGTTGATTTTGAAAAAGTACATTGTCCTAATTTCTCCAAAAAATCTGGATTTTCTATTAGTATAGAAAATAACAATCAAGCTCAGCTGCTAGAACTATTTGGCTAAGTATTTTTAAGAAATCAATCAGGGACACTCTGATATTTTTTCTGGTACAGGATTGCATCATTTTCTATAGATCGCTAAGTGTCATTTTGCATAGTTCAACGTCAAAGAACTGTTTTTGCTAAGAAAGCTCGTAGAATTGTATTAGAACTAATCTGTACTATAAAATTCGATGTTAAAAGTATAATAAAAGGAATTCGTTCGGCTACTAGTATCCAAGGTAAGATTTAATTTGACTGAACTACAGAATCATCAGAATAAATTGGACTCTGTTTCTTAAAACCTTATTCTTCTGCAATAGAAACACGAATAAATCTGTCATTATATTCTAAAAACTATCAATAGTACTGTTTTAGTACAAATACTCAAACGTACGAACTACCAAACTAAATTCACTATTTATAGTCTACATTCTGTATAATAATTATAGTCGTGTAATCGAATTAATGTTACTGGAGTTGTTTTTTTTAATACGGGTGGTACATCTCATAAAAGTTCAAGCAAACTTTTCAATTGACTAATTTAAAAGTTGATGAATCGATTGAGATATTAACTCTGAGATACCTACGCTATTCATTATGACTTTACACTTTACTGACTGAAGACTGGCATTTCACTCGTTCACATTATTCGAAACAGGTTTTCAAGAATGCCGTTTTTCTGTAAGAATGGGCACATATTATGATATCTGAATTTTTCCCAAGATAATCATCCATAATAAAAGAATGTTTATGCTGATTGACATATCAATCCCGCTTTCATTAAAAAATAATCGTCATTGTGATGTAAAAATTTTTGTTCCCCGTTTGCACACGTCACAAACCAATACTTTTTCGCTTTCTACCTATGAATGGTTGAAAAGAAAAAAATATTTAGTAAGCCACACGATACTATTTACCACAAAACCAAATCGTCTATGTCCTTGACGTTTCATTGAATTATGTATGCACAAACATATATAATTTAAGATCATTTTTGTTAGGTATCACACGTCCTGTGCATTCCTCTTTGTTTCACAAAATCTGGAGATAATCTATGGAAAAAAGATTACAAAAGAGAAAAAGCGAAAAAGTGAAAAAAAGATTTCTTGGATAGCTTGGTTGAATGATTTTTATCTCCTATATAATATTGAGAGTTACCGTAGTTAGCTTTACCACATTTTACTTTTAACATTTACTAGTAAAGTAACTTAATCAACTGCAATCAATCACAAGATGGCCGATGCATTATTTCAACAAGCCGATACAAACAAAGATAATCGATTAGATTTAAACGAATTTCGTAACCTTGTCTCTTCCTCTGGAGCAGGTGGAGGAAGTTATGGATCATCTAGTTATTCAAGTGGCGGATACGGTGCCGACGCTTCTCTAGCTGGATTAGCTGGAGCTGGTGGTGGATACAATTCGTACTCATCAAGCTCAAGCTACGACGGTGGTGTTGCCGGATTAGGAGGAGCTGTTGGTCTCTCTGGTTTGGGAGCGGGTGGTTACGGTTCATCATATGAATCATCGAGTTATTCATCTGGAGCAGGAGTAGATGCTTTAGGTTTGGCAGGAGGTGCTGGTGGGGTATAGATTATGTTCTGCAATAACGTTTACTCAAATAGACAGAAGAATTATTTTGCTTGTAAACATTTTTTACTCCTGTTTCTTTTCATCACTCGTTTTCCACATAGATTTATATTTAGAACTATTTATATCCTAAAATAAAATTTCATTCGAACTGTAAAACTCTTTATCTGAGATATATATCTAAGGAGTTCAAAAAGTTCAGAGTGTGTTGGTGACTGCATGTAATTCACGAATGAATCTTTATGGAGCTGACTTTTCATCAGTGAGCGGCGGTGTAGGCGGATATGGAACCTCAGGTTATACAACTGAAACTACAGCAGTTCAACGATATGCAACGGATGCCCAAGGATTATATCAAGATTCAAATCCACAAGTGATTCGTAGACCAGCACCAGGCGGTGGTGTCACATATAAACAAAACATCCTAGTTCGATTCTTACAACCACCACCCGTTCCACCAACCAGGTCCATTGATCATCAAAGAAGTTCGACCACCACAGCCACCAGCGCCACCACCGCTCGTTGTACGTCAACGCGCCCCAGCACCACCCCAAGTAAGTCTAGTAGTTTTTCAACACGTACCCAACTTTAATTATGAAACTAAACTCATTCTTTCTTCCCTTCACAGCCACCACCACTTGTTCTTCGTGAAAGACCACCACCAGTTCCAGCTTCAGTTGCATCTCAAACAGGTAGACTAAAATACAATCGAATGAAAAAGTCTGTAGATCATGTTATGATTCATTTCAATTTTAGTCATCCGAAGACTGGCTGCATTACCTGTACCACCACGATCAGTCATCATTGAACGCTTGCCTGCTCCTCCTCCAAAACCTCGTCAGTATTTCTTTCGTATTTTCAGTTTCATACTCAAAGTAAATAATGATATTATTTTCCATCTTCAGGTGATATTATCATTGAGCGATGGATCCCATATGGCGCGCAAGCGAAACGAAGAACAATTGTTCAACGTGCAGGTGCCGCCCAACAATACAGAGCCCCACGAAATGTCATCATTCAATATGAACCTATTCAAGCTCGTATTGTTCGACAATTTCAACGACTTGGAGTTCAAGCAGAAAATCCAGCAGTATATGTTCAACGTTGGGGAGCTCAATTACGTGACAGTGTGACACTTCTTCAAGAAGCACGATCAGCCGGAGTTGTTGAAGACATCGTAAGTTCTTTGAAAAACAGCCATTTTCATACGAAGAAAATGAAGAACATAGTAACTAAATTAGTTTTCTGCGAGACCATTGATTACTTTCAATGTTTTAATATTAGATTTTATAGCAAGGATCTTTTCATCATATAATCCAATAGTAACTTACGCGTAAATGTATATATATTTTTGTTTAATTTAGTGAGATTTCTCCGATATTACAAGTCAATATTAGATTTTCCTCCGGAAGAAAAATTAGTTACTATTTGAAGTACTCCATCTTTTGTTGTTAGCTAATATGTGAACATACATTAGCCCACCAGTTGTTGCTGGTTTAGCAGTCTCAGGTGCATCCTTTGGTGCAGAATTCGGAGGAGCTACCGGTTTAGCTACTAGTGAATTAGTAGGTGTGTAAATATTACGTTAGCATTTTTTTCAGGAGCATTTGTAACAAAACTGATATAAAAATTTAGATAAATAATAAGAAAAATTATAACTCTAAAATAAATTCTATATAAAATACATCAAGATGCAAGAAAACAGCAAGTTAGTATCAAGAATTCAAATTTCCATTTACTACTAGAAAAAAATTCTTTTACAGATGTTTGATCGTTCTGTGTTAGCAAAAATGATATCGCTTTTGAATGTGTCCTTTGGAGCTGAGTACGCAGGTGCCGGTGTGGGTGCTGGTTTAGGTGCTGGCGAAGGTTTCAGTTCATCTTATGAATCTAGTTCCTCATATGGCACTGGAGCAGCCGGTTTAGGTGGCTTGGGAGCAGCTGGCTTGGGAGTAGCTGGCTTAGACGCTGGAGCTGGTGGTTATGGAAGTTCTTCATTTGAATCGTCGTCGTATTCAACGTCAGCCGGTGATTTGGGAGGAGTTGGTTTAGTTGGTGGATATGGAGGAGGATTTGATGCAGGATTAAGTGGTTCGTCAAGTTATTCATCGTCATCATACGGAACTGGAGTTGGAGGTGTTGATGCAGCCTTTCAAACAGCAATATAGATGAATTATATTTAGAAAATTACTACAAATGTTAAGAAGAAAATGTTTTCATCTGAGTGACTAGGTTTTTTTTCCATTTTCTTGTCATTATCCTGTTTGGTACCATCAACTTTTTTTATTTAATGTTTATTTGTAGTTGGATTATTTCCTATAATAAATGTAGTTAGAAAAACAATTTTATTTATTATAAAATGATTAAGGGAATTATGGCATTCAACGTTACTCCAAATTAACGTCGTATTTATAAAGTTATTCTAGTCAGTCTTTGCAGTGCTTGTTAAGCGTTCTGTGATACATATATATATACATATGCATATATACCGAGAGAAGGCTTGTACTAAAAAACAAACTTTTAAGTATCTTATTCTTTGCTAATGTTGAGCAGCAGACAGGCAAAAGACGAATAGTTTAAGATAGAAAAATTCACTTGCTTACTGATTATTATGATCGAAAAATTCACGAAATTCATAGGCATCAACAGAGGTACCTCTAAAAGCATTCAAATACAGTCTGAATTAGTGCATACGAAAAAGTTGGACAAAAAACGCTGATTGTAGTATGGCGTTTTTCAAAGTTACTCTGATGAACATACTTATATTTATCAGCCGCTTGAAATGCAGCGTTAGCAAATCAAATTCACTAGCTTCCTGACCCTATCCGCCGCTGTTTTCCAACTAGATGATCCATAACTGCTGCCATGGGACTATGCAAATATTATGCGATTTTACACGCGAAATCAAAAATTCATTGTTGGATGCAATATGAATAGTAGCTATATAGACCATCGATACATCTCAGTGTGACATCGGATATGATACATTTTTTATCGCTATTCTTTCCAACATTGAGCTCTATCCGAATATGTCTTGATGCCAATCTGTTACGATGCTTTGCAGTTACTTTTTTATCGGCACGTATCACACCGTGATTTTTATCGCGACATATCGGAGTGTGACAATGGATCAGATAATTTTTCTATCTCGATAATATCCGATACAGTGTTATTTCAATATATCCGGATAAGCTAAGTATGAATCAATTAGTAAACTGATACATGTTCTATATAAAGTTTCGGTAATTCGAATTTGCAGCACTATTATTGTTTCTTTCATTTATAGATGATTGGGTAAAGCTCTCTACTCTAAGCTGATTACCGCTAATAAGCAGGCAAATCGTATACATTTTTACATAGATCGATAGACAAGAGTTTCCTCTAGTCGGGAAATTAAAAATAAAATTTTCATGTTGAGAAATTACTTACCATAAATTAAAGAATAGTCAACTTTAAATCTAATGATCTAATTGCGACCAAGCGCTCTATACAGCAACAATGATTTCTTATTCTCTTGACTTTAGTCTAGGGTATTACAAAATGGTTGTCTGTGCGCAAAATACGGAAAAATGGCCGATAGATATTCCATGGATAAGCCAATCACAATCATAAAAGAGCAAAGTAGAAAATTCTTTTTTACACGAGAGAGAAAATATTCAAAGAGATGACTGAAATAATATTTACTGATACAGAGAGATAAAAAGCTAACCAAACTTGTTATCTAGTCGGGTGATAGATGCCGCCAGAGATCAGTCAGTTTTAATAACGTAAAAAAAGTCATCCACAGATAATAAAAGTTACAGAATATAGATAATCTATCATGGCGAATCCATCAGAAATACTTGCAGGCTCGCTTCAGATCTTCAAAGTGTGTCCGGGAAAGTTTTCAGGTTTATGTTACATTGTGCAATTTTTCCGTGGAATCAGAGAAGTTCACAACATTTCTCAGTTATGCTGGGTTAAGATACGCTAGGATTGAGCGCAGTCCAGAGCTACACTCAGCCCTAGAATTAAGTCCAACTACTAGTCCTAATTTAGCCTCTCTTCTGGTTGGTTCATACTATTCCAATGAGAAGGTATAACGACACTCTTTTTTATTGTCGTTTTAAGAATTTACTCAGTTGGGTTAGTCTAGGGTCTTACAAAATAGTTGTCTGTCTGTGTGTGTATACCCAGAAAATTTTTTAGGTGTATATTATTTACGCGCTTTTTCGTGGAATCACAGAAGTTCGTCATATTTCTCCCTTTCCAACGTGCGCAGTGTTGTTAATAGGAATCTTTTTCAGAGTGGAACTTTCCACTTTACTGTTAGGATCAAAGTGGGATTTTCCACTTTGATATGAAATGTAAAGTACACAAAATGGGAACAGTTGAATTTTTGCCTAATACTCGCTAAAAGAGATTTTTTTGATCGTCACAGAAGTTTCGTTTCACCGAAAAAAAAGTTGTAGTCCCGATTCCTGTCTCGTTAAAAAACTTTTCGTCCCGATCCCGCCCATGTCTTACTGGTTCTCTCGCTTGCAAGTGTTCAAACAGAGATCGATGGGTTAGTTTTGTAAGACAGAAAATATGAAAAAAAATAAAGTGGAAATAAAAGCAAAGTGGAAAACAAAGTGGGATATACTTTTTTCAGTGTGAAAAACAGAGTAGCAATTCATTGTTGACAGCGGAAACCCAATTTGATCTCGTTTGTTCCACTAACCATCAAAAACACTATAGGTGGGAACGCCAACCGAAGGGAGACGTGAGCACTGACTTCACTTCAGCAGTACTTGTTGATCTCTGCGGATCTTTGTAGGGCAGCGTACACCGACCGAAGGGAGGTGTGAGCTTTATCTTGGATTCAAAGTTACGAAAGGTCGCTCGCAGATATACAAAGTCGAGGGATCGGGCGAGTGCAGACGAGCGTTATCTTGTGTTATTCCATTGACTTTAGTCTAGGGTATTATAAAATGGTCGTCTGTGTGTCTGTCAGTGCGCAAAATACGGAGAAATGGCTGTCAGATATTCCAGTCTGCCAACCATTGATCTAAAAAACGCTTAGAAAGCGAGATATAAATTTGCCATACAAGGACCGAAAAATTTTAAATTTAAAAGCCCCCGTGATGAAAAAGTTTTGTCTTTTAAAGTGTAATCAGTGACCAGAATACGAGATCTTGAAATACATGGCTTCTCAACTTAGACTTCTATGCATTCTCTGAGATAATGTCTGTAGGTAGCGCATGTTTTTATGAGTGTAACTACAATAATGCCGGAGAACAATAGAAAAAATAGAAATAAAGAAATAAAAGTGGAGTAATTTAGATTGTAACTGTCTGCAACTGTAGTAGAGCAGCGACAGTCCGAATGGAGAATATAAATAGGCTACTGAAATTTAGCTCTTACGCTCTTGCAGACGTTGCGATTCTCCTTACGGGGAATCTACCCGTTAGTTAGTTAGTTAGTTAGTTAGACCCGCTACCATTTCTGGTGTAGGGTGAGAATAAAACATCAGGAAAAAATAACACAAAAAGAAAAGAGTGTTCAATTTGACGGAAGTGGTGTTCGTTTCTATTGAAAATTGAACTAAGTTAATTATCAAGATACCACCCTCTGTAATCAGTTTAAGTGATACCCATCATCTCACAAAGTCAAATTCCNCATATTATTTTGTTCATTTAATATTGTTCTTTTTGCACCAATCCTTAGCACACGCTTTAGCATGCATTGTAATTCCTTGAGGCATAAAGATTTTTCCACAATCAGGACATTGATATTTACCACTACTGTTCTTAACTAACAATTCTGTTACCTTTTTCTTCACTACTCCCTGTGCTGCCGCTAACTCAGTTCCTCTGCGTTGTACTGCACGGTGTTTATACTCAGGAATCTACCCGACAGCAGAAAGTTTTCCTTGCGCGAATCCAACTGCGTTGTCTCGAAGCTATTCGCTCCGATTTAAGGCTAATTAAAGATGTAAGTTTTCTCGAAACTCAATCGAATCAAACTGGGCTTTAGAAAAATTTAGAATGCGTATTTCTTGTTTTTTCACTATGCAGGAAGGAATAGTTTAGATCTTCTGTCTGAAATAAAACCAGCAAATGTGCCAGCATTCATAGTTAATTTGCGCTGTCTTCATTGGCAAGGTTGAACCCCTTCTTCTACTTGCAATGAAAGAAACCGAAACATACGGATAAGCTGTTGTGAAGTTTTATTTTGTTGCAGTCTAAGTCTGGTGCCTTTAGAAAGAAAAACATATGAACTGGAAGAATGAAACTTGAGGTGTGTATTGAGCTCTGAAAAAACAATAAAACAAGATTATCAGGCATGAGTGCTTCTTCGTTTCTGTAATGTAATAACAGATTCTATCTCGTGAACACATTCGGGAAGAAAAACTGAATTTTGCTCGCACAAAAGATTCTGTCTTCTTAGAGGTACGTGAGAATGAAGAAATGTCCTCATTCTAATAAAAAGGGGATGTTTAGTAAAATACTTGTCTCAAGTCAGACTTGTTCTTTATGTGCCATGACTAAAAGTCTTCCAGTTTCACTCATATGTATAAACATAAAGAAGTCTTTCTGCCTGCGAACATTCCTACCTCTTAGTACAAATTGTAGGATTACAACTGCACATGCTAGGGCATATGAAAAAAAACAACTTCTGAGACGCGTGTTTTTATTTGATTTCCTTTTACCCATATAGTCTAGGCTATATGCTCTGGTGATCGTGAAAGTTTGATTAAACCCTTTTTTGTTTGAACTTTTTC